CATTAGCCTGAGAAAATAACAAGAATCAAAATTTGAAGTGTGGTTTCTGTAAATGTGTCTTACTTTAGCACCACTGTAAAGTCAAAAAATCGTAAGTCTAACTGTTGTAAGGCTGTCTGTATACCTTTAGCTGGAGGTAGGGGATGTGATATGGAGAAGGAAGAATTGCAAACAAATCCTAAACTCTTCTGTTTTGTTTTGTTTTTTGTTGAGGCAGAGTCTCACTTTGTACCCTGGGTAGAGTGCTGTGGTGTCACAACCTCAAACTCCTGGGCTCAAGGGATTCTTTTGCTTCAGCCTCCTGACTAGCTGGGACTATAAGCACCCGCCACAACGCCTAGCTATCTTTACAGATGAGGGTCTCACTCTTGCTCAGGCTGGTCTCGAACCTGTGAGCTTCGGCAATCCACCCGGAGTGGATTAACACCCCCTACTTCTGAGAATTTGTCCTGAAGATATACCAACAACAATACAAAAATACACCTCGGTTCAGATCTGAGTCATGGCCTCGGCCTCCCAGAGTGCTAGGATTACAGGTGTGAGCCACAATGCCCAGCCCTTGTTTTTGTTTTTTTGAGACAAGATCTCTGTTTTAGCCAGGCTAGAGTATACTAGCACAAGCATAGCTCACTGCAACCTGGAATACCTGAGCTCAAATCATCCTCCTGCCTCAGCCTCCAAAGTAGCTGGGACTACAGGTATGTGCCACCATGCCTGGTTAATTTTTCTATTTTATATAGAGATAGAGTCTTGCTTTGTTCCCCAGGCTAGCCTTAATCTCAAGCGATCCTCCTGCCTTGACCTCTCAACTTGCTGTGTGCCTGAACTCTTTTTAATAGGTCTGCTGTTGGATGGCGCCTGTGGCTCAAAGGAGTAGGGCGCGGCCCCATATACTGGAGGTGGTGAGTTCAAACGCAACCCTGGCCAAAAAAAAAAAAATATCGGTCCACTGTTTGTAAGGATATTGCAACAGCAATTCAGAAACTATTTGAGAGGTTATATAGGATTGAGCTAATGTAGTGACACTGTTTGGGAGCCAGGGTTCTCTCTGAGGAAGGAGGGGCATACAAACATGGAAATTCAAAGTTAATGCTTTTGAATATAAATATATGCATATTTATGCAACATATGTGTATGCAAATATGCAAATATGCACGAATGCATATATGTACATACATACCTGTATTTCCCGGCTCTGTCAGTTAAAAGAGCTAAGAAGCAAAAACACCCCAGTAGTAATAAGGACACCTCATACCCTAAACTTAATCTATAATACCATTCACCACTAGGAAGAATCAAGACTCCTCAGAGAAATAGTCAAGTCTAGGGCTGGTAAAAGGTATAATTGAGACACCTTGTTATACCAGGAAGTAAGAAGTAATAAACAAACAGAAAAAAAAAATGAGAGAGAGAGATGAGGTTTTGTCACCAGGGCACTGGAGACAGCTTGAAGGGGTTCCCGCTGGCAAATCTGGGACAATGTGAACACCATAATAATTAAATCACTGAAGACATAGAAATTCATGAGTTCGTACATAAGTCCAAAACTATGTAACTGAGGAGAAGGAAGGAGTCTTGTTCACTGGTGGGTGCTGAGAGCAGACTGGAAAAGGAGGACGGAGTGCAAGACTGAGCAAATCATTATTTCGCGACCATCATGGTAAAGACTGGATTAGGCAAAACTCCTCAGTGGATGGTAAATCTAGGGAGTAATTATTTACATGGTTCCCTATACTGCTTACTAGTTGCCGGGGAGGAATAAACAGCAGTAATTTTTTTTGTTTTGAGACAGAGTCTCTATGATGCCCTCGGTAGAGTGTCGTGGCATCACAGCTCACAGCAACCTCAAACTCTAGAGCTTAAGCAATTCTCTTGCCT